TCGACACAAATCCTATCGTTGAAATGGTATCCTGTCACTTGCCATGTTGTACGTTCTTGCCGTCGTTCTTGCCATATGTGATGAAAAAGGTTGAGGATTAAGAATACCTTGTATGTAACCTTCCTAATGAAGTCAAATATAAATAATAAGAACGTGCAACGTGCATTTGTGAGACCTAAATAATATACGGTTAAAACACACCATTTTCCAATGCTAGAAGTGGACAATGAACTCATTTCACGACGGGTGTACTAATTCTCTAGTGATTCATAAGCGAGAATCTCGAGAGACTTTACCCTAACGAATGAGAATTGACACCTGATTAGTGGAGTCGTGCTTCTCCTGTCATATCACTTCATGATAATAGATGGATAATTGTCACCGTACTTGTAACGATATCAAATGTCATTAACATTCATACACAAGGTCCAATAATCAACATTCCAAATAACAAAACAACCACGACAGCTGCATTATACATGCATCACACAGTTCATATATATTCAACCGACCCCTAAAGTCATCGTGAAGAGAACTACTTCAAATTTGAAACGACCTCAAAATTTCAAGCAACCATTTGACCTTAAGCATAATGAAATTTCAAAAGTTAGGGTTTGTAATGAATTTAAAAAGAGATCTAATTTTCGGTTTTCAATCGCTTATGTTAATTATGTTAATTATATTAATTATTTTCTAAGCATAATGAGTTTCAAAAGAGTTTAAAAAACTCGTTCGATCGGTGTTCATATTGATATAATTATTAGTTTGTAATTAGTTGAGCTATGTTCATATTGGTATTCAAAATTTTAATTTTTAAATTATTTCTTTCATATATTTTATGAGGCAACACGAAATTTGTGTTTAGGAGCAAAATTTGTGTGTTTCAACCTTCAAGAACCCCTTGTGATTGTACTTTAAACAAAATATACATCACTTTGTGTGTGGGTGTTCTTCCATAAAATCGACGTGGTTTGACTCGAGATTATTGAAATTTTCAAATCCTACATTAAATTCTCTATGTAGTTTGTGAAACTTTTGAGAATTTGATCTAGAGAACTTAAATATCAAAGAATCCAAAACTATAAACTTCATCGAAAGTTTAAGAACGGATTAGGTTGATAGTCAAGATCAAGAGTAAAAAAAACCCATTTTTAAATACGTGATGATTTAGATCTGAGGTGTGTATGACATAATTTATGTGACGATGTTAATGAATTGAGTTAATGACCATTCACGTATACTGATATCCAAGCTAAGGAGATTGAGATATGGAAGAATCGAGTATTCAATTTAGTAAAAGTGTTATGGATTAACATCATAAATTAAAATTTCTAATTTTGGAATTTTAATTTCTCGTAAGCTTTCTAATTTAAATTTAAAAGGTTACAACAGTGACATCCGAGTAAAGAAGAGGTACATGAATGAACTGAAAACCACATCCGAAAGAGAGCGATCTTGTAGAGTTAAAATGAAGTGAAAGTTATTACCTATACGAACAAGGTGCGTCTTTCTTGTCGATGGCTCAATCATAAGAATTTCATGGTTAAATGTGTTTTATTTGGAGCAATTCTAAATTGAATCACCTTTTTGAAATTTTTATAAGATGCATGTGAGTGATGACAAAACATGCTCGAAGAATTTGTGTTGGTCTGTGGGATGGTCTTCACCCTTAGAAACAAGGAGTAAATAACCTGACCATATTGCAGGGGATGTAGTGAAATATCGAGGTCATTAGGTTTCGGATCCGAATTCCAAATCTTGAATATGAGTCGTTACACCATCTTTATTTCTAAGATTAAAAAAAAAAAAAAATCGACCTTTTACGACGACCGTTTGAAATTTACCATATTACCCTCACTTGGACAGGCTTTTATTTATTTATTTATTAAAAAATTTCAAATTGTAAAAAAGCAACCGTTTTGTGGTTGGAGAGCGTGAGGAATTAGAAATTTCGAATTAATTATTTAATTAAAATTTTATTATTGTTAATTCACTGTGGGGCCCATCCCAATTTTTCACCCTAACTAATTTAAAGAACAATTTTTTTTTATTATTATTTTGCCAATATGTCCATTTAATTGGAGGAGTTGAAATTCTTTTATTAGAAATTAAAAAAAAAATTGAGAAAGATTTTTCGCCCTTAAATAAATGGAATTGGGACCTAATTATATTCCCCATCCGATTTTTCCTTAATACAAATATAAATATATTTTAAAAAAGAGGTTTTTTTTTTCACTACGTTTTTTTTTTTTAATAAAAATTTAGATTAATTTTATATTTTATTTAATATTAGAGTTGAAATGACTTTATTATATAAATAATAATTTATAAAACTGAAAATCATTTTCCTTGTCGTAGCTTACCTAAAGATAATTTAGAGATTTTCAGGTCTCGATTTCTTATTTCTTTTCTTACCCTTCAACTCGTTTTTCAAGTCTCAGGTCTCGATTTATTTAGTAAGCTTATTTCTTCACTTACCCTTCAACCCTCTTTACTTACCCTTCAACCCGTTTTTCAGGTCTCAGGTCTCGATTTATTTAGCAAGCTTATTTCTTTACTTACCCTTCAACCCGCTTTTCAGGTCTTCGGGTCTCGATTTATTTAGCAAGCTTATTTCTTTAATTCTTTACTTACCCTTCAACCCGCTTTTTAGGTCTTGAGTCTCGATTTATTGAGCACGCTTATTTCTTTACTTACCCTTCAACCCGATTATGGTATTTGACCTACTTTCTGACTACTTGTCCTATTATGCAACTATTATATCTTGATTTCTTTAGCAAGATTCTGACTACTTGGTTTATTTCTTAAAAAGGCCACCCTTTCAGACCCAAAAGGTTAATTTGACACTTTTAACCAACTCAGCCATCTCAACTTTGGTACGTGAAATTTAGAAATTATTTTTGACAAATTCCTTAAAAAGTATAAGAATCAAAATAGTATAATCTTAAAATGATTTAGGGATAGGTTAAAACATTAAAAGGGATCAAAATGCAACTCTAATATAAATAATGTACGTATATGTAATGAAGTGCCCAAAAGAAAATAGGGTTAAAAAGGGCAAAAATGTAATTTTCTTATTTTATTTTATTTTTAATTCTTAAGAAAGGGTAAAAATAACATAGTAAATCATAAAATTTTAAGAATAGCTTAAAAAGCTTGGATTTTAAGCAGATATGGTACCTCCAATATTTGTGGAGATCCAACCATCTCGGTCGCCTATATGGATCTGCCGTGAAGCCATCCAATGGCTGAGATCGTCTGAGGTGACAACCCTCGAGTTTTATATGAAGATTTGTAAAGCTTTTTGTTAAGAATGAGAAATAGAATCGGAATCGAAGATGTGTATCCTCATTAATATTCATAATTTAAATAGGATACAAGCTACCAACTAATACCCTACAAGTAAATATATATATATATATATATATATAAACTAATTAAATATTGAGAATAATACTCTTACTATGATGTGTTCAATGGAACGATATGACTATATTAAGAAATTTGATTTAAGATATAAAGTTGGTTATGAAATATATTTTAAACGTTGCGAACATTAATGAAAATTGGACTTTCAATCCCACTTCTATTTCTTGGACTTTCGATCCCACTTATGTTTCTCATTATTAACATGGTATAAGAATTTCTCATTCTTAACAGACTAAGATATGTTCATGAAACGATGTGGTTAGGTTATGTATAAAAAACGATATGGTTATGATAGATTGAGATACGTTTCTGTAACGGTATAAGTAGGATACGTTCATGAAACGATATGAGTAGGACACGTTCATGAAATGACATGGTTAGGATACGTTTGAGATACGATATGACTAAGGTATGCTCATGAAATGATACGACTATGAAATGCATAAAGACAATAAAGATATGACAAGGTTAGGAAACGATATGACTAGAATATGCATATAGAAATGATATGACTATGAAGTGTTTAAGAAAGGATATGGTTATGATATGACATGTGAGCGATGAATATATATATGTTGTAATATAATATGAGAATGATATGATATATGTGATAAATTTTTATAATATGATATGATATGATATATTGTGATACGATATGCTATGGTGTGATATGTGAAAGGCATACATGGCATGTTATATTACTGTTGTAGGATATGATATGGTATGATGTGTACATAATGAGAATTGTTATGTTTGGAAATATGGAAACGTTATGATATGACATACGTATGTAATATGAATGATATGATTGACATGTAAAATGGCGAACGGACATGAAATACAACCGCGACGTATGCATGAAAGATATGATAAATGATATGATAAATGATATGATAAACGATATGACATGAAGGAAGACGCTAGCTGGGTCGTATTAAATGATAATGAAAATGGAAAAATGTTGGGGACAAGCAACAACCACAATTTTGATAGCATATAACTCGGGTATGAAGAATTGATGACTAGTCACGTCCCCACAATAATACATTTTGGAGCATTTTAGCATTGACGGTGTAAACATGATTTTGAGGAAGAGTTATACACCAGATATTGACATGACATGGATAGTAAAAACCTAACTAGACATGAAAGCAGATAAAAGAGGTTGGATCCAGCAAACGACTATGAATAACACGTTTTAGACAAGTATGACCGAGACACGCGACCAAAATGTCTTAAACCTCTCACCTTTTGAACTTTAGATGTAATATAAACCATTCTCAAATTTTAATCATCAATTCGAGATGGAATGGTTGTTCGATCAGATTCCGACTCCAGTCCTTGAAATTGAATGCTGTTCTTATTAAGCGGATCAGATTATATCAACCAAATTATCAACGAAGAGATGAAATTCAGCTAACCTATTACAGAAATGAATCGTTGAAAAGAAGCAAAGAATCATGGAGAACGAATCAGAATTTTGCACAGTGCGAAGGCAGACCAGTCTCATGGTTCACCGCTACAATCTCAGAAACTTCGCATTTCAGCACATCTTGTCCTAGCTTGGCTCCGGCGGACTTGAGTCCCTTCAGCGACACCGGTTGATTGAAGAGGTTCAACGATGGAAGTTTCGAAGCCGCCGGTAATTTCCCATTCGGTAAGAAATTTACGAAGTTTTCTTTCAATAATGGAACCTCGAAATCTTCCTTCTTGTGCTTCACGATATTGTCCTTTGCACTTATGTGAGCTCCTGGTTCCATGTGGTTCGTTGAAAAACTGGCTTGATTTGGGAAGTTAGGGTACAGACTTACGTAGCCTCTTAAGTACATCATGTCGATTAGGAACTTCTTCCATGATGCTTGCCAACCGTTTGTTCTAGATTTAGGGATCTGAACTGGATTCTCTTTCGCATTTTCCGTGAATCTTGTGTTCATGTAAACATAAAACTCCCTCCAATGTTTGGGGAAGAAAACTGCTCCCCAACTGCAGGGGAGCTGGTGGAGGTAAGGTGTGTTTGGATGAATCCGCTTGAAGAACTCTGTTGCATTCCATTTAGGTCTTTCTTTAACCACTTCGACTAGCCGAGGCGTGTAGAGGGAGATCGATGATAGCTCGGGTAGAGATATTTGTGGATCGTAGTGGTATGCTAGGAGGGCGTATTTGATCCAAAGGTAGTAGTATGGAGAGACTTCAATATCGTCTTCGAGTAGGAGTCCATAATCGTTGTCCGAAGCAGGATACCAACTCTCGCTTACAGCTCGTATCAGCCCTCCTTGGATGATTCTTCTTCTGAGGCTTTTGGGGCCATGAGGCCACTCAAAGGAGCTTACTAATTTTATAGTTTCCTCGTCGACTTTACTGTCCATGTTGAAGCTGATAGGTATCTCATCCCCTAGGTAATATGCATCTTTTAGTGACTTGAGAAGCCGTGTTAACGAACCAGCACGGTTTTGTGTGATAATGTTGATTGAAATCCGCATCTTGTTCCAATCTGAAAGGAAAAAGAAAAGAAAAGAATGAGAGCTCTGCTATTGCATGGCAAGAATTTCTATCAGGAGAAATTGAGAGAAAAGAGGAAGTATCTTAGCATTCTTACTTGGAAGTGCTGTTGATCGAAGATCGGCCATCCAAAGAACTTTAGAAATCGAAGGCCTTGGTAAAAGAATCACTGTTGTACTACCGTTCAAGTTAGCCTCTGATGCCATTTTCAAAGCCTTCTTCACATTAGGATCAACGTCTGCCACAGTGATGACGACGCTGGGATTGTGTATTTTGATTAATCCCTTCATACTGGCATACACTGCCTGCACCACAGGGACCTCAGAATTTGATATTCCAGAGAGAGCCCCAATGGCCAAGTCAAATATCTTGAACCTCCGTTCTTTACAAACCGACTTCGGCCATTTAAGAGCAGCTGCAGCATCTTCACACAGGCAAAAGTTACCGCCAGACACTGCAATATAAGCCTTCTTTCCAACAGTGGATCTGAACTTTTCAAGAAGTGGTGCTAGTGCTTTAGCTTCATCAACAGAATGAGCATAAAATAGAGCATCTATCTTTTGAGGATACATAGCTGCCCATTGTGTAATATAACCAGTAGACATCGCCTTCCACCATTGATCATCCCGAACTTGAACAATGTCCTTAAATATGACAGTGGTCTCGGAAACGTAAGCCAGCCTGTGTTCACTGTCACCCCAAGTTTCCTTGTCTTTTGGGTCTACAGGAAGAACAAATGAGGCAGCATTTCTATACTTTTGAAGCTGATAGCTGCATATTTGGGATTAAAACAATTAGCCACCCAAAACTTAGGAGATGTTGAAATATGAGTAGTGGAAACAGCTAGTAATAAGTTACCTTAGGTGGAGATCTTCTCCGGTTGCAAAGGTGAAGGGGGTTTCAATGAAAAGTGTCTTCACAAGCTCTGCGGATAAGAACCAAGAGCTCGAGAGAAAGTCGACCTGCACAATTTTATTGACGGTGATGTCATAAGCAGGATCAGGCAAGTAAAGCCCTGCTTCCTTGGATCGAAACTTTCGATAACTCGGGAATGTGAAATCCTTCTGTCGAAATGGCAAAATCCTACCTATGCTGCCCAAAACTGCGTTCTTGTATTTGTTGGTCCCTGCTACATGAGACAAAATCTGTAGCATTTTACGGCCTGGAATCATGTCATCATCAAGAATATATACTAAATCAGCTTCGGTTTGTAAGGCCATTTGGAACCGTCCGTAGTACTTGAAGTCATAGCTTGAGCTAATAAAGCTAATTCTGGAGTTGTTATAGCTATCTACAATTCTTTTCAAAGAGAGCTCATTTGGGCTCCCAAATGCAAGCACCCAGACATGGTGGAAAGGAAGGCTTTGCTGAAGCAAAGAGTTAAGTTGTGCACACAGAGTTTTCCTCTTAAAATGGTTCAAAATCACTGTAACTTTTGGCTTGTTTGGTCCTCTCAAATCCCATTTGGACTTCATTGCCATTAGCTGAGAAAGAGTCTCTGTTCCAAAGCTTTTGCTTTGAAAATCTAGAATCTCATTGTAAAGCTCTGTTTTCAACTTTATCATCTGCCCATCAGTGGACTTCTTTTGCTCAAAATCAATCTTCTCATTCTCACAAGCTTCCTCCGGAGTAATCGGTCTGAATTCCGGTTGCATCATTAGAGAAGTCGGTTCTTCGATTCGACCCACTACGTGGGGCGATATTACAAACTGTCTCCATTGTTGAGCGATTCTTGTAGCCCAAGAGAAGTCCGGTTTGGTTCTCAAGTCTATTGCAGGGCTGACATAATACAGTAGAAATGTTGCATATAATGCGAAGGCAAACTGGAGACATGTAAGACCAGCAACAAGCTTTGTTGAAGAATTTCTTTGAGGTCTTAACTTTCCTTTTCCTCCAACATAATCATTGATCATCCCTTCTAAATAATCCCCGTTTCGTGTTGCAGGATTCCGAAAGATACCCATCTTCTTCTCAACGCAACTTCGGAACAATCGCAACCCTGTAGCAAAACCGCATATCAGATACGTCCTTTTCATATGATACTGAAAAGACTGATCATCCAGACCGAGCTGAAAGTAATTTTCTTACCTTAAAACTCCCAAATATTGATATGTCGAATTCTGGACAAAAACTATCTTCCACCTGAGAAACCTGAGAAACCTGTGAACGGATACTGGAATGAGAAAGGGTTGTCAAGAAAGTTGAGATATGAATAAGAACAGGAACTGGGAGACTAAAAAAAGGAAGAAGCTTTTGGGTTAGTGTATAAAATAGGAAAGAAAGTGTGTTTGTACATGAAAAACGCACTCAATGTCACATGGATAATGTTAGGAGTTTTTATTACAAACCGTGTCAAAAAACGTCTTACCCTCGCTGCTTTTTGTCTTGCAATGTTAAACCCTCAAGGAACCACTTACAAAGCCCCGGATTTAAAGCCTTGTTTTGTGCACTTCTAGACTTTCTCTCCTTCTACAATCTACTCTCTCTCTTGAAAGTAATTTATAGAAGATTTTTATAAGTGTAACATTGTTTTTAAACTTCTGTTCGGGCTCTATGCCAGTTGAACAAAGATTCAAGGACACGTGCCTTGTACCACTTGTCACAATCGCAATTTTTTTGGCAACAGACTTTGCGATTGTGCGGCACTCACTCTCAACACCAAGTGAGTGAAGCCAATTTGTATTCGCGTTGTCTACGACCGAGCAGCATATGCTCAAGCCTCTAGCCTCATTTGAGAAGAAGGTTTTAGAAAACGGGACAAAGAGATTTTTGAAAGTGAGTTTGAAAGTAAGAATGAGACCAGATTTAAAAGTAACATTATATAACTATAAGCAAAAGGCCACAAAATGACTTAAATAACATATAACTTTTTGGGCAGATAAAATTTGACAACTAATTGCATTCCCTTATAGTATTTGAGGTGATTCAGGTCTAGCAGGCCTAAACGTGATTTCGTCAAACGGTCATATACAATCAGGGGGTGTGGCAAGATATTTCTAACTTACAACCTTGTAAGTGAGGTAAAAGTTTATTAAATTATAATTGAGTTAGATCTAGAAAGTTCATGTACCTATTGATAGCTGTAGAAAATAATCTTATAGACTTGTAATTATTGAGAATTTTATCCCTTATCTCTCTAGAAAAGAATCTTATAGATATCAACCCTCTATTTGTAGGGCTCTATTTTTAGAGGTTTAAGCCTACTAACTTAGCCATTCAAAGCCTCACTACAATATCCTTTGGTTAGAATTTGAAGCTAATCTCATAAAACACAAACCCAAATCTCTAAAACAACGAACACCCTAAAAAAAGGAAGCTTTTTAGTTCAAAAGTGGAAGAAGAAAAGGTTAACAAAAAGGGTGAAAACGCCCTATTTCAAGGCAGATCTGACTGCGAAAGCAACCAAACCATGCAGGGGATGGCCATGGCGCCATGGGAAAGTTAAAAGAACAAAAAAAAGGCAAACCCAAAAAGGACAACAAACAAAGAAGTCAAAAATACTTACAAAAACTTGAAGTGAAAGCAAACGATATCTTCTTCAGCAAACAATCCAAAGCCAAGAAACCCCACAACTTGAAAAACCAGAGGCATCAAATAAAGGCTTAATATAGTAGCAAAGAAGAAGAAGAAGAAGAAGAAGAAGAAGAAACAAAATGTTTGACTTTTTATAGAGATACATAGAAACGTAGAGAAATGAAGTAGCAAGTTCTGGAAAATGGGATTGAGCCAAACTTTAATCTTGGCGGGCTGCTTGAATGCAAAGAATGAAGAAGAAAAAAACAAGTGTTCATCATGTGGGTTTTCTTTTTGGTTAGGCTGTGTTTGTGAGTGGAGGATGATGAAGAAAAGTTTTTGGTTTTGAATATAGAAATCCAAGTGTTTGGATGAGATGCATTATCATTATTACATTTAACATATCATGAAATTGGAGCTGCAGCTTGAATGTTTTGAAACCATACAGTAGTGTGTTCTTACTTTTTGGGGCAAATGTACAGTTTCATGGGGTTTCTTTGGACATTCTCTTTCTAAAATCCAGGTAAGTTCTTAATCTCTTTCCGCTCGTTTTGATAATGCTTTCGTTTCTTTTACGTTTTATTTTCATATTTGGAACAACATGTGCATTTTTTCTAGGACAACAAGTTTGAGGATCTGATCTTTTGACTCAAAGAAGTATGTATCAATTACCGTTGAATTATGCTTACTTTGGTAAAAACGATGTGTTTGAGTGCCTATTTCAGGTTTTGAACCTCCAATCTCGAGGGAAGAAGGCTCTTAAAGGTTCAATTTTATCTTTTGTATGTTAAGTTCTTAGTTTAAATCTAATTCTCGAGAGCACTAAATACATATTTATCGAATTCTTGCTGAGGTGAGAGATCAAATCATTAGTTTTTAGGATGGTAGAAAATGTTGGACGATGAAATTCTCACATCGGCTAATTCAGGGAATGATCCTAGGTTTATAATCAAATAGTACTCTATCTATTAGTGTGTGACCTTTTGGGAAGCCCAAAGCAAAGCCACGAGAGCTTATGCTCAAAGTGGACAATATCATACCATTGTGGAGGGTCGTGTTCATCTAACATGGTATCAGAGTTATGCTCTAAACTTAGCCATGCCAATAGATTGGTAAATCCTTAAATGTCGAACAAAAGACTTCAAAAGAAAAAGGAGTCGAGAGACTCGATTAAGGAGAGGGGTTTACTTTGTTCGAGCTTAATTTTTTAAAAAGAAAAAGTAAAAACGGTTTTATTTATTAAATGAGACCTAAATAATTATCAATTTTGAAAGAATATTGATATTAATGATTTTTAAATAGGAATAGTTTTTAAATTTTATGATAATTATTTGTTTGAGGTTTGAGTTGTTTTTAATTTTTTTTAAAAAAATAAATGTTAATAAAAAATAGAATTGGAAGAATAATTTTTCTGTATTTTTTTTTTCTTAAAATAATAATAATAATAATAAAATAAATAAAGGTTCAAAAAGCACTTTAACGCGTATAAATATGCTTATATCATAATTTAGGTAATCACTTTGTCATGTGTATTTTTCTTCAAAAATAATGAACAAAGTTGCTATTAATTAATAATTTATTTTTAAATTCTTAACCAAAATTAGAAAACAAAACAAAAACTATTTTTGCAGTTTTTAAAAGGTGATTTGAATTTCAAAAACATTCTTAAAAAATAGATAATAAACAAGAAAGTGTTGTTAAGTTTATTAGGGATTTCGTGATTTGAGTTGGGTCGGATTTTAATATTTTCTTATATCAAACTCAATTGTTCGGGTTGTAAATTTTAACCTGAAAGACCCTTGTTAAATAAGAAATCCAACCCAAACGACCCTTGTTAAAGTGTTAATCGATAAAATATTTATTTATTTATTTTCAAAGATATGTTATAACCATGTTTTTTGAATTTTGAATTTTGTTAATTATTTAGGATGTTTTTTTGATAGTAAAAAATAGTAGGTTTTTTTTTTTCAAAAAGAATTTGTTTAAAAATTAAAAATGAAAATTATTATAAACTAGCGTATAATTTTTGAGATAATATTAAAAAATTTAGAAATAATCTTTTTAAACTTTTTTTTTTAAATATAAAAGATATTAATGCTACTTTTAAAATTTTATGGGTATTTTTTAAACATAATATTTACCGTAAACATATTTTTAAAACTTTTTAAAATCGAGCATTAATGAATTTTTTAAAAATTTAAAAGTATTTTTGAGATAAAATATGGCGCCTAGATATTGAAAACTTGCATCCATAGTAGAAATCATTTTGAAATACTTAATTGATAATCAATTTCCAATTGAAAAGGTTACCAAAATTTGGTATCAAAAGCACTTAGTGGGTTGACTTAGGAGACGCCAGGTTTTAGCTGGCGTTGACCACTACAAATGAAGCAAACTTTGGTCTACTTCTATTTGATGCAAATCAATGGTTTCCCATTTGCATTCCATTAAATATTTGATAAAATTTTTAGGAATATTTGAGTATCCTAAGCAATAATCTTCCAATTTTGGTATAGAGCACTCGAATTTCACGATAAACTGGTAACTTTTTTCTTGGCCATCTGAGAGATGTTTTAGTTATCTTCCGACTCTAAATTTTAATTTGGTCTTAACATGATCGGGATAGGTTGGTTGGAGTCGTGGGGCTCAATAAAAAAACCAATTGGTCAACCAAGCAACATCCTTAATGAAGCAATAATGGCATGGTTTCCCAAGTGATTAGAATTAATAATAGAGTGAAATATGGTCGGTTTTGCTTATTATTTGAGGGTCAAACTAATTAAACATGTTTATGTTGACCTTTGAAATCAATTTAATAAGATTGTAAAGTTGTATGAAAAGAGGTTAGGTTGCAAAAGGTCAACGTGTAGGTATGGTGGTCATAAATGGTATACTTCAAGTTCAAGTAAGTGGAGGCACACCCAATTAGATTTCATTCTCTCTCATCAAATTTCATTCACCATTCACTTTTTTTTTTATTTAGAAAGATTTGAATCTCGATAATCAGTTGAACTATATTGTAATGATTCATACTCGGGATTCAAATTAAGATTGAAAATCGAATTCCACACCTGATTGCTTCGACATTCTCCTGCATTCTCGCGACTTGGTCACATTCTTTATTCTTTGCTTGTAAGAGTGAAGACTATCTCTATAGACCAACACGTATCATTCCATCATGATTTGTTTTAAGAAGATTCTCAAAATGTCACCCAATATATGTTCGACTGTAGCATAGGGTGTAGAAGGGTCTTGAACCCTTTGTTTATAAAGCTTGGCTTTTTCCTACGGCTTCCACCGGAAGAGATTGTCTTTCTTGGAAATTTTATGAGTATCAAACATAAGCCTAGAAAATTGCTTCACACAGTCTTGGATATTCCCTGTATTTCTCAGCTCTCTTAACTTCCTTCTTGTAATTATCTCAATATTCTCTGGGAAGAACTAAGAGCGAAGTTTTTGTTTTAAGCTCTCCCAAGCGTCCAGAGTACATCGATCATCTTGGATGTCCATGTACTTGGATCTCTACCATAACTTTGCATCGTCGGTTAGATGTACTGTTGCTAATGTGACCTTCGCTTCTTCTGCCATGGTATTTGTGGTTCGAAAGTACTGTTCGAGGTTAAATATAAAGTTCTCTAGAGCCTTGGCATCTTGAACCCCACATAAGAGCTTGGGCTTCGAGACCTTTACTTTGTTGAATTGGACGACACCCCAGTTGGGGTTTGGTTCCCTATCGCTCTCGTAGTGAAGTTGAATATGGCGATCAGATCCGCTACTTTAACACTGACTACTCCGAGGGTTGCACTCAAATCCTCAGACATTTTTTAGATCATCCGAACGATTGCTTGTTGGGCATTGTCTAAGCCCTCAATGCGTTCCTCCATTTAGGCAACAGAGCCCGTCGAGCTATCCCCACTTTTGAAGCCACCAACAGTTGTAGCCTTATCTTCTAAGGTCTCGACCCTAACCATTAATTTGTAGACAAGCATTGCCTCAAGGTTGCTTGCCATCTCGTTGATCGTGTCGGCTTTAGTGGTAATCTCATTCATTCAAGACTCCAAAAATCTCATTCCATCAAGAACTTTACTCATGTAGAGTAATTAATCATCAATCTCTACCAATCGGTCAACCTAAGAGTTGCCCATTTATTTTGTAGCGGACATGTTTGTGTACTACAATTCGAGGAGTCGAATCGTCTGATACCACTTGTAACAATCGCACTCTTGTGGCAGTAGGACAACGATTATGCGATACTTGTTCTAACCTGACAAACAAGTCAATTGTATGAAAGTCAGATTTCTTGGATAACCTTGACATATGATCAAGCCTTGGGTCACGTTTGAAAGAAATGTGTTAGAAAACATGAGAGAAAAAATAATTGAAATTTTTTTCAAAAAAATTAATGTTTAAGCTAAAAGCGAATACGCAACAACCACGGTTTTGATAGCATATAACCTAAGTAGGAAGAATGGACAGCTAGTCACATCCCCCCTATAATACATTTTTTGTGAATTATAGTCTTAGCGGGTGTAGACATGATTTTGGTGACCGTTTATACACCCCCATATTGACACAGCAAAAATAGTAAATCTTTATCTAACATGAAAGTAGGGGTGTACATTCAACCCGACAACCTGGACCAACCCAACCCGAACTATAAGGGTTGGGTTGAGTTGGATTAGCATTTCGGGTAGGGTTGAGTTCATTTTTTTGAACTCGAACTAAATCGGTTCAGTTTCAGGTTCATGGGCAAAACCTTCGAATTGACCCGATCCAAATAAAAATATATAAAGTATATTAAGAACCTTTTTATATTAATAGGTTTGTCAGAGTGGTACTTAAACTAGTCTAAGGAGAGTAATGCCTGACTTCAACAACATTATGCTAATAAATTTTATCTAAGATCAACCCTAGGCAAATATATGTTTATTTTCCAATATATTTTATCTAAGATGATAAATAAAACTAAAAAAAAAATTGATAACCCAACCCAGGGTTGGGTTGTGAAAAGTTTTGGGTTGTGAAAAGTTTCGGGTTGGGTTGGGTTGGGTTACCAATCCAACCAACCCGAACTTTTGGGTTGAGTAAAAAAAATCCCTCAACCCAACCCAACCCGAACCATGTACACCCCTACATGAAAGCAAGTAAAAGGGTTTGAAACGGGCATGTGACCATGGACAACACGTCTTGAACAAGTATGGTCGAGACATCCGACAAGTGCAACAGACAACACGTTTTGGACAAGCATGATCGTAACAGCACAACAGGCAACACGCCTTGGACAAGCATGATCGTGACACTGGACACCACGAAGGAAAAAGACCAGCATAACATCATGACAAACATAAATTTTGTAAGTCATAAGGTACATGTACGTCCTAATTATAATAGAGAAGTATCCTGATGCATGCGACGCACAAAAATGCTTGAGGTCCCCGTAACTAAAAATCAAGGCATAAATTTATGATGCAAGTAGAACCTCTATTCATTTATAACATAATGAGTCTGTGAATTATGCATACATAATTTCTGTCAAGAATCTTTCGTATGTAGCCTAGCTTGCACGAAATGGCCTCTAAAGTACTTATGCATCATAGATTATCATCATCATAACATATTACTATAAAATGACATAGTATAACATAACATAGCATAACAATCATAATTATGATACGTGTAGGGACCACGGGGCACGCATTATCATACATAATATAATTCATTCAACCAAGCCAACATTAGAACCACTCACTTAGTTGACCTGAACATGTGTCACAAAATAGTCTTAAAGATGGTTCAAGATCGCTCCTTAAAGTCCAAATCCAGTTATGTAAATCTATGTCCTTGAGTTAGGGCATGATATACAATTTAATTCATTCAACCGTGCCAACTAATTCAATTTTTTAGTAAAAAAATAACTTGAACTGACAAAAAAAAGAGGTCATATAGACATCAATTGCTCCCGAAAACATAAAAAACAACTCTAGAATGGTCCAAAACATTATTAGAGAAGCCTCATAACTTTGAATAACTAAGATCCGAGCCAAATATGTCGCCTAAGCTGATTTGGAGCCGCTGGAGCGCACTAAATCAAGCTAAAATCAAGTCGAAGTCGAGCCGAGCTGAGCCAAAGAAAGTGGGCATGCGGGTCAGAAACGTGACTAGGTCGGGTTTGCGGGTCGACTATGGGGTAGGAGTGGGCACGGGTTGCTCCAATCAAAGTATAGGATTGCTTCAATTAAAGCATGCTTAACTACGAAGTTCCTATGATTAAGTTATCGAAAAGGAAGTTGCACCTTGTTGGCAGAGAGCTAGTAACTTTCAATTGTTTTAAATATTTCTTAACCATCTTATCCTAAAGATCTCTCTCATTCAAATGTGACCATGATTCGTTCATGTACTCTTCCTTTATTCGGGTGTCACATGTCCACCAACTTTTGCCTTGGTTTGCTCCTGGACCACATCTTACTGGGAGAGGTACCACGATGATATCATTTGTAACGACCCATTCCTAAACTTCAAAATTTGATGTAACAATACGAAAATTAGAAAGAAGAAAAAAAAATGTTGTCCCCATATTGGTTAGATTGAAAAAGTGGGGAGTTGGGCTCCAATATGAAAGGAAGGTATTTTGGCTTATTGAGTCACAACAATTGCTTCATTTCATTCTGTTTGGGAGGTTCGAGGAATACATTTTCTGATGAATTCATCTTTGCCTCTCGGTTGATCTCGCTTAGGTTTGATATTTTTGGACCCTTTTGAGATCAGCTTATTTGGCTCGGATATGACATGTTCAGACATTTTCCTACTATTTTTTTTACTCTTTGAGAGGCGTTTTTGACACTTTCGGAGTCGTTTAAGGTTAATATGACTATTTTTAACTAATTTAAAGTATATGGAGCTAAGTTTAAATCCGTTTATGCAAATTAAGTGAGTCAATTTCTATAATAGAATTCTACCTTATGGTTGTGGGACTCCTTAAGTGGAACTAGATTTTAAAGAGTAGTGGGAGTGTAGTGACTTCTAGTGACTTCGGCTTAGGCCAAGTAAGTGGTTCACTGCTTGCTTAGTTGGACGACTTATTTTCTATATGAACGAAGAATGCCTTGTGACCCTTGCACGTATCATGTTTTATGATTGTTTGATATGTGCTATATTATGTCGTGTTAAAAGTTATGTTATGCATCCGTTGATGTTAAGTTATAGAACTATGTTGATATCAATGTTGTATGATGCATAACCTTCATGTCATGCTATGTAACTATGTTAACATTTATGCCAATCACAAAAGATATGACAAGTATTACGTATGTATATCTCATGAGATCGTAATGTCATAAAAAGAATAGATGTACAAGTTGCATCATAAGTGTATATCATGATTTAAAGTTATTTGGATCTCATGCATTTTGTATGTCAGGTGCATCAGGATACTTTCCCGTTATGATCAGTAAGAATGCATACACTACAATATTATGCACGCTCCTTTCCCTCCATGGCTTCCGACAACATGAGTGTACTCTAGCACAATAGGCAACCCTAGGGTACGTATACAAGCGTATTTGGTGTGCCCATGTGTGCGTGTGTAAAGAAATACTACTCATCCAACTCTACCTGAACTAAAAGTAGAGACAAAGGTCCTAATATTCTACCAAAGGATATGTCTCACCATAATTGCATCTGGTTGCTTCCCGACCCCAACAATAGGGTTACTTACTGAGTATTTTTAAATACTAAAACCATGTGCTACTTCTTTTTCAGTAAAGATAAGATATCGTTGTACAGATGACGACATTACTAAAGAAATAAAGTCAAGATAAGGTATCGTTGTACCGAACCGAACCGATGTGATACCAAGACTTGGAAAAGAATTAGGAGCAGTATTATACCATAGTGATAAACTCATTATACTTATCCCCATAATTCACTTCTATACCACCAACCAAAATCACACTTAGAGTAAACCAATCTCTCCAAACATTACATATTTCACCCCCAATTCTTTTTCATTTACAACTTACAACAAGCAAGTATACCCACCAAAGGATGAATAACACAACACAAAAGAAAAAAAGAAAGCAAAAAGGCAGGCAGGATGAAGTTTCAGATCGTACCGTTGTTTACCGTTGACGAGTTCGTGCAGGAAACGTCATGGTAGGGCGGAGTGTTCTTTGGGGTCGTGGTGTCGGGTTCCCTACTATCATGGTTTGAGACCGTGTCAACATGTCTACCATTGATGGGGTTTGGTAAGCTTGCACAAGGCTCGTGTTGTGTGTTGAATCGCCACGAGCCGTGGCTCGCTGCCATGAATGTGAGCTTAGTCCTGATAGAACATACGCCCTTCCTGATGCCTCGTAGATGCGTCGGTTTTCCATTCTTTCCTTCATCTCCTTTAACTCGGCACAAAGTGCTGTGCACAAATGATCACCAGCTTGTCCTGAGATAGTTTCTGATACTGCTCTATAACAGCTCTCCAAGATAGAGACTGCATTGGCCAAATCACCACGCTCGGCCACAACTCTAGCCTTGGCCATTGACTCGAGGGCGTGTATACGATTGCGTTGCCTGTCGACTTCTATCGACACAGATTGTTCTCCGATAGCATTTGGCCTTTTTATCTTCACTTCTTCAATGTCTTCTAACGTCACTGTTTCGTTTGCGATCGGTTTTCGGTAAGCACATTTGACTTTGAGCAATGACATCTCATCAATAGAATCACCATAAGGTACATTAATTGTCACCAAAAAGTCTCGTTCTTCTTCAGCATACAAGTCTCCCACATTTATAGTGCCAATTCTCGAGTCTGCGTCGATGTTTGATCGGTAATTTCCTGCTTTCAATGAACCGAGCTGCAAACTAGGATGAACACATTCAATTCTAACCTGAAGCTCTTGCACAACAACACTCAAGAGCCCTCCAATGCACTGAGCAAATGCGTCCTGGATTGTAGCTTCTGCTTCGACAAAGGAAAACGTCCCCCCTGAAATCTCGGAGATAGCGTGCATTGCTGTAGCATCATGGTCGGTGCCGAACCCGAATGAATACACTGGTATCTGCAATGCTGTGTTGTTATTACGGCGGATTGCTACTGGTAGAAGCGACAGATAGTCGGTTTCGGAACGTGAACTACCCATGCCAAACGTATATGTGTCCTGACCATCTGAAAGTAGCATAATGCTACAAACAGGATTCTTCCACTTCCTATCCAATAATACTTTGGTCCCTTTCTTTAAGCCATCAACAATGTTTGTTCCACCATTTGAAACCAAAGAATTAATAGCTTGTAATGCCTGTTGTTGTCCACTCTCAGTCATCCGACGAAGAGAAAAGACGCGTCGTGCTGTAGAGGAGAATGATATTACTGAAAGTCGATCCGAGGGGCCGAGGTTCTGTATCACAAAGCCCATTGCTCGTTTTAGCAACGCAAGCTTAGTACCAGCCATGCTCCCACTGATATCAAGCACTGTAACAAGGTCGACTGGAGCACGAGAACTTCGAGACGGAGGAAAAGGGATCGGAGTTTCACGACAACGTTGGCTCTGACTCGTAAGACTAGCTTTGATATGCACTAATACAGTGAAATTATCGTGAACTGCAGATCGAGCAACAGCGGAAACTTCAGGATATGTCTTAACCTCAATTGTTCCAATAGAACTATCAACAGCATCTACAAAAGGTGTTCCTTCATCAGGGATAACAGGCTGATGATCTAGGACTTCATCATCATCAAACAGATCTGGCTCAGGTCCATGAGACTGAGAGGCTATCGGCCTAGGCGCATCGATCGGTGCGGGACGAACCCTTCTTAAAACGGTCATCCACGAGTCATCTCGAGACCAATCAATTTGGTTGAATCTCATCATTCCATTGGGAAGATCAGAAGCAGGGCTTTGGAGAGGAATCTCTTTCCATTTGGCTCTGCAAATTGGGCAAATTTGGTTTCCATGCTTAACATTTGAAGTGATGCAATGGAAATGAAACGAGTGGGAACACTCAGCAGTGAAGATAGCATGGCCCTTCCCTGGCTTCATAGCAGTCAGACAAATTGCACATGTCCTCTGCAATTTGGAAATGATCAAAGGATGAGAATAAAAATAACCAAAAACTCCAACTCGATTGCTCCAAAAAAAAAACACGTAGTGTAACGGCCCAAGCCCACCGCTAGCAGATATTATCCTCTTTGGGTTTCCCCTCAATGTTTTTAAAACACGTATGCTAGAGAGAGATTTCCACACCCTTATAAGAAATGTTTCGTTCTCCCCCCCAATCGACACTAGGCGGTGTACTAGCGAGGACGTTAGCCTCCAAGGGAGGTGGATTGTGAGATTCCACAGCGGTTGGAGAGGGGAACGAAACATTCATTATAAGAGTATGAAAATCTCTCTCTAGTAGACGCGTTTTAAAATCGTGAGGCTGACGACGATGCGTAACGGGCCAAAGCAGAGAATTTCGGCTAGAAATGAATCAATAAGCTAATACAAAAGAAAAATGAAAAGGGCAATTTGCTTAAAAACTCATTATCTGCAGCTACTTTTGGCATTAACTTTCGGTTTTATCGTTTTTCGCCCAAAGGGTATTTTCAACTTACCTTTTCCCTTCCCCCTTATTCGTGAGAGAGAAAGAAGGTAAAATTTCAGAAGAAACTTTAGAAGGCAACGTGATAAGACAGTGTCTTTTTGCATAGTGCAATCTCATCTGTCAACACCATATATCAAAAGAAGAGGTAATATCACAAAAACCTCCCAACCAGAGTACACATATTCCAAGATCCATACGAAAAATAACACCACCGCTAGTAGATATTGTACTCTTTTGGCTTTCCCTTTCGAGCTACCCCTCAAGATTTTTAAAATGTGTCTGCTAGGGAGAAGCTTCCACTCCCTTATAAAGAATACTTCATTCTCCAACTGATGTGGGATCTCACAATCCACCCCCTTTGAGGCCCAGCATCTTTGCTGGCACACCGCTTCATGTCCACCCTCCTTCGGGGCTCAGCCTCCTCGCTGACACATTGTCCGGTGTCTAGCTCTGATACCATTTGTAACAACCTAAGCCCACTGCTAACCTATATTAGGGCTTCCCTTCAAGGTTTTTAAAACGCATCTGATAGGGAGAGGTTTCCTCACCCTTATAAAAAATGCTTCACCGATGTGGGATCTCACAATCCACCCCCTTTCAGGGCCCAACATCCTCGCTGGCACTCGTTCCCTTCTTCAATCGTTGTGGGACCCCAATCCACCCACTTTGGGGCCCAGCATCCTTGCAAGCACACCGCCTCATGTCTACCCGCGTTCGAGGCTCAGCCTCCTCGCTAGCACATTATCCGGTGTGTGGCTCCGATACCATTTGTAACAGTCTAAGCCCACCGCTAGCAAATATTGTCCTCTTTGAGCTTTCTCTTTCGGGTTTCCCCTCAAGGTTTTTAAAACGCATCTGCTAGAGAGAGGTTTCCACACCCTTATAAAGAATATTTCGTTCTCCTCCTCAACCAATATAGGATCTCACGTAATCGCGGTAAGACTCAATGGTAAATCTTCGGAGCAAAAGAAAAGGCAAAAAGTCAATAATAGGTAATAGAGGAGGACATGATGGAAAACTACAAACAGTCAACTGGGTAACTTTCCAAAAGATAGAATAATTCAGCAACAAATAGAGGATATAAAACAAAAGGAGGAAATAAAAAGAAGAGACCATATAAGCTCATAAAAAGAAGTGAAATTATGGGTCGCCACATAAAAATAATGTACTTTGGATTCTTTTTACTATTCACCAATGTCTTGTTTATTATAGTGATTGCTGGAAGTCATAGAATGAAGATGGGGTGGGCCACAGGCTTTTAATAAATCACCACTGAGAAGCAAAAGGGAAAGGGTGATGGTGTTGACAGTGCAAACCACTTTTCTCTCTTCAGGGGAGGCTTGAAAAGTAAAGGCAGAGAACAGAGTTACTTCACTAATAAGCCAAAGGCTTAATGGTCCTTGAAGGGACTACTCCACTTTACCATCCTCCACATAAATCCATGTATTTGAAAGTAACATTACAACTCATAGACATTGAAAGTGGTACAGAACAGCAGCACAGTGTATTACTTTCTGAATCAATTGCTTATGAACAGAGAAGGATATTCTAATCATTTCATTTTACTACTCGTATCCAACAATCTTAAGATCATAATAATATACTGAATTTAACCCACCAAAAAAAAAGATAAACAGCAGCAGAGAATCAAGAAGCTAGCAAAAGGGGCGAACCCCAAATATAAAAAGATCCATAACAAACCTTGGAGGATCTGGTTGAGGATTTGGAGAGGCGGAGACCGGAAGAGGACGAAGTGGGTGTCGTCGGCGGGTGGCAATCGGAGATAAAACTGGCCTGAGAAAGCAAATTAGACGGCGCGGCGGCGTCGGAGAACCTAGAAGGCATGGAAGGCAAGGAATCGGGGGGATTTGGAGGGGTATAGAGGCACATATTGAAGCCGAGAGCTAGTTTGAGCTTCTTCCATGTGGAATTCATGGTGAAACAGAGATGTAGGGGCGGGAAAATCTAAGTGAACCCAGGTGGGAATGGGAGGGTGAGGGGAGAAGAGAGCATAGTGTGGAGAGTATGAAGAGGATAAGGAATTTTTTGTGAAGAAATGGAAATGGGTAAGAGAAAATTCAAAATGGTTCAACTGGGAAAGGTCAAGAACATGGGAATTGGCAAATTGTGACAGAGGATTGAGAGGGAGAGGGAGAGCGACGGGCGGAGGGAGAGAGGGATTTGAGCATTTGACCTTTTTTGGTTTTATGGAGGATCAAGTAAAAACTTTAGAGAGTTTCAATGCCTAAATCAATATTAATAAAAATATAAAATATAATACTGAAAAATTGGGAAAATTGGTCCAAGTCAACCTCCATGGGTAAATTGGTCATTTTGACTCTCCTTGCCTAACTAGAGGTCTCGAGTATCCCTGGTTAGAAGGTTTAATATTTAAAAAATACTCATGAACTCCCGATCTTTCGAAACATCTTTTGCTTATGGATTACTATAACGGTGAACACACTTGAAACTCGAAGAATAAACAAACCTACTTGATGGACTACCGAGCTACAAGTCCTACAACACAGGTGCGAGATTCTCTAAAAAGCTAAAGTTGCGAGCAGCTAAGAGAGCCCACTTGGAGACTGGGATCTCAACCGAAAATGCTAACTCAACAATTCATTATTTCATTTTTTTTTTCTAGCTCCTTAAATACTCGGTTAATCCTCGTTTTTTCTTTTATTAAATATCCCAACTTTTCTATTATTATAAAGATTTTAAAAATAAAATATTAATAGTTTTTACGAGAATGATAGAGGTATTTTTGTTATTTTAATTAATAAAAATAATTAATATGAATTTATCTTACTTTAATATTGATTTATTTAGTTATTTATTGTACCCACATAAAGTTTGTTCTAAAATATGATATTTATTTAGATGAGGAGGAATTGTTATCAATTACTTACTCAAAACCATGCTAAAATTCTAAGAGCCTCGTCAATAATGTACATGGTTGAGATCAATGACTCAACATGTTCGTGAAACCTATAGCGTGTTTTCTAATAAAGATTATCTAACAACACTATATGAAAACAAATATAACGTGAATTGCCTAAATCAAAGTATGATAAATTAATAGAGATAGAATAGAGCATATCTCACCAAAGTTGATGTGATCAAAGCGTTGTGCATGCTGGCTGATAACCTGATCCAAAAACAGATCCATAGCTCATTCTCGTGCTTAGACCCACACAAATTTAAGTCTCGTATTTCTAAGGAAACATACCTTTATCCTTTGGAGATTAATTTGAAAATAAGGCTTATATATATATATATATATATATATATATATATATATATATATATATATACATTTCAACGATACGTTTCAACCTTAAGAAATTTGAGCTATAATATCACATAAGACTAGACGATGAAAAAAATTACAAAAATATAACTTTTTTTGGTTTGAATCGACTTCGGAGCATGCAAGATCACTTCCTTTCTTGTAGGGGTGAATTTTGGTTGAAAGATTTTGATTTTCGATGACAGAGGCATTTGAGCCGGAGCTTGTCTTTGAGAACGAGTACCTAATTTGGTTTGATATACCAAGAATCCTTGAATCAAAGACATTAGTACCTCTTTAGTTTCTCTGGATAATAAAATATCTTAAACAAGGAAACTTGTTTTAGATTCAAATCACCTCGCAACTAAGATTAACAAAAATCATGCTTGAATGATCTAAACATGTCATCTAAACTACATAAGATTGTAAAGAAACTTAGCTCGAGACTAAAAGAAAGCACAAATGTTCTTTTTACTAGTTTTATAAATTTGATTCTACAAATACAACATCTATGGCTTTTATCATCCCACTTGAACGGTTCGAAGGCAGTTGGAGAATACGCTCTCTGATGGTTTCAGGTCGGTATTTTGACTAATCTGACTTGTGTCTAATAAGCTCGGACTCCTTTTTTATTAGCTTTCAACTCTTGGAAACCGATTAAAATTAGACTTTTCAGAAATTTTTGATGAGTAGATATTATTATCATTGGTATTTGCTTCATCAAATGAAAAACGACCCATAGAGATAGGGCCAACACACGTGACAATTGGTAGAGTAGTCAACTTCTGCTTGAAATTAACATAATATCATTTTCATGTTTAATGGCTATCATCTCCTCTCAAATCATATTTCAAATCCTTAAATAATATCAGATTCTTAGATTGATTACTATTCTACCATTAACCATAATAATGTAACGTTAAATTTTGTCCTAAAATTTTAGGGTTGTTTTAAATTCTTATAATTTTAAAAGTTTACAATTGGTTCCTCAAATTATAATGAAGGTTTTATCTATTTATTTTTACCAAAAGCTCATGAACAACGTGTGAGATTCCACATTAATTGAAGAGATGAACATGTGCTAGCGAGGACAATGAGCTCCAGAGAGAGTAGATTGTGAGATCCCACATCGATTAGAGAGGGGAACGAGTGCTAGCAAGGACGCTCGACCTCGAAGATGGGTGGATTGTGAGATCCCACATTGGTTGGAGAGGGGAACTAAGCATTCCTTCTAAAGTGTGGAAACCTCTCCCTAGTAGCCACGTTTTAAAAATGTTGAGGGGAAACCCGAGAGGGAAAACCCAATAAGCACAACATTCGCTGACAGTGGATTTGGGTTGTTACACAACCTATAATAATTTTTTTAAAGTACAAAATCTACATATAAAAATTATTATTGATAGAGATAGAATCAACCTATATGTTTAAAGGTAGAATTCGGAGTGTTCATATGACATGATAACCCGAAAAATTCAGACTACCCAACCCAAATCATAACGTTGGGTTGGGTTAAATTTTTTGTTAAGTTTGGGTTAGGTTGAAGTTTAAAAAAAACTAAAAAAATTGGTTCAATTTGCTGGTTGAATTTTTCTAGTTGGGTCTGAAAATAGGGTTACAACCAAACTCAACCATTTTAAAAAAATTAAGAATATTTAATGTTTGTAATCCATGTTAGTGATGTGTTATGACTTGTAAATGTTTGATATTACTACCGAATTGAGTTAATTTTTTTTCAGTTTAGGTTAGGTTGATGTAACGACCCTAGATTTCCATTAACCTAAAGTTACTACTATCATCATACTCTATGCTCTTATGCGGAAGTAAACATTTAAAACATTATTGTAGATCTAAATTCATCTTAAAAACATAACATAGACTTAAAACATTGTGTTCAAAAACATATTCAAAACCAGATGAAAACAATAATAATAAATAAAGTAAAATATTAAATGCAAACACTCTATACTATCTTAAGTCTAAGAATTTAAAATGCTATTAGCCTATGCACGTGTCATGGTCTCTGATTGCGATGCCATTGTCAACCGTACATTGGTGTCTTGCCTTTACTTGAAATAGAAGTAACACACCGCTTGAGTATTTTATGAAATACTCAATAAGTAATCTCATTTTTGGAGTTGGAAAATGCAAACACAAACAACTCATGATCTAGAGATTTATTACTAAAACTATCATAGGGGTGACCTCTAGTGCGGACAACATCGGATGTGCAGTACTTCTCTATACACGACCCACACGTGCAAGCGTGGATCACAAGGCGGCTCGTACCCCTCTAGACCCATCATAGTCGAGCTAGCTTTCCGTAGTGACATGGAAATCAGCAAACCCTTGAGTGTCATGCGAGGCATGATCACCATCACCATCATAGTGTATGCGTCTGTACTCATCATCATAGAAGGGGAAGTAGCCCGATGTATATGTATACACAAAATGCATGAGATCCCTATAGTTTCTCATCTTTAAAAGATCTTTTGACACAACCCTAAGTTCCATTCACATATTACTATAAGTAATGTATGTACATTGGTCTTCATATGTTCATCACCGTCATTATCATTCACACGTGCAAGCGTGGACCCCAAGGCGGTTTGCACCCCTCTAGACTCATCATAGTCGAGCTAGTTATCCGTAGTGACGTATAGAGGTCAGCAGACCCCTAAGTGTCATGCGAGGCAAGGAACACTTTGATACATATGAGTGATTACTACCGAATAGTGTTGTAGCTTTGCCAACTAAGAGGATGAATTGTTTGTCAATACAACTTGTGCATAAGTTCGAACTTTAATAGGTACAGAGGGTTTGGGGTAAAAGAGCGTAAGGACCTAGACTTTAATAATTGAGTCATTTTGAAGTATAATAGTTATCATCTCTTCTCTAAATCATATTTCAAATCCATTTTCAAAAAAAAGAAAGAAAAAAGACCATCCGTGTATTATTTCTTTTTCGAGTAAAGTTAAGACATTTTATACGGTTGCATTTCCTGACTTCAATAGTGGGGTCACTTACAGAGTATTTTTAAAAATACTCAAGCGGCGTATTACTTCTTTTTTTGAGGTAAATACAGGACATTCTTGTATGGCCGATGACAACATCACAATTCAATCACAATTCAAAACCATGACACATGCATAGAATAGTTGTACTTACTTTTCTAGACTTAGATTAGAATACGGCGTTTTTAATTTTTAAGTTTATTTATTTAATTTAGCATTTCGTTGTGTCGTTTTAAGGATATTTTCAAACATATAAGTACATGACAGTGTTTTAAGATGAAATTTTAAATATTTAAATCCGCATATGAGTATAGATGATGATGAACCCTAAGTAATTAGAAATTTAGGGTCGTTACACTTTATGAAATATCCAATAGATTTAACGGGTTAAACGGGTTCAAATTTATTTTAAGTACGAAATTTACCAACATTTTTAATTTATCCAATAATCAAAAGATATAGATAGAAGCAAGCATCCTTAACTATCGTTAAGAACTAAATAAGGTTTAAATTTTTTTAAATATTATAACCAGAAGTTGAGTTGAGGATAAAAATATGAATCCGTTTTTTAAAATCAAGTGTATAAACCCTAGCTTTTCTTTGCTTTCTAGAAAAAAATATTTTGAAATTCAAGTTTTCCATTTTTTTGAAAATTATGTTTGTTTATTGGCAAAATTCCTAGAATCAACGAAGATCTTACAAATATTAACAGACACAACTATTTTAGATTTTTACTTTTAATTTTCTTTATGATCGGAGAGTTTTCTTTAGAACTAGGTTCTAATTCAGAGGAGTTTTGCACGAGATGCATGAATGAAGCTAGAGCTAATTTGGATTGAAAGATGGCGTTCCAACCATTGTCAAGTACCTATAAGTTTTGGTATTTTTATTATA